ACGCTCTTGTACTCCTGTGCTGGGCTGTTTCATGGCAATTCTTACTAGAAAGACACACCCGGGTCTGGGGGTGGAGTGTTGCTCAGATTGCCTGGTGAGGAGGAAGGAGCCCAAGTGTTGATCTAGGATGGGGCTACATTTGTTGTTGGAGGGGACCCCCTTTTTGTAACTGTACCTCGAGTTCTCCCACTCTCAGTCCCCATGCTTCAGACAGGGGCATAGCCCTGCCCCAGAAAGGGATCCTCGGAAAAGGACCTCCACAGTAGCCAATCAGTGATCGACATTCCTGGGACGGGCCAATCAGAACCAAGGATGCCTGCAGGCTTTGGCTGGAATTCTAGGACTTGAGGCTCTTTCCCACGAGCTTGAACCTGAAACTGTGCAGTCATCGGGCCACCAGAAAGGAATTGTCTATGGGAAGAAATGGAGGCAAGAGATGGAGAGGGAGAAACTGGGTCCTGGGATGTTGTTTGAGCCTCTGAATTGAGCTGGGCCTAGAGCCAGCCCTACCTTCTGGACAGTAAATTCCCTTGAACCACGCTGGGTTGGATTTTCCCCTTCTTGCATTACAAAGAATCTGAACTGGTGCACAGGGTGAGAAGAGGGGAACTCCCAGGTGGCTGGCTTCTGGATCTCGGCTTTATCTTCCAGGAGGTCATGGTGTGACCTCCCTTGGTTCCAAGGTTTCAGAATGGAAGCCTGGCTGCTCTGTGCCCCTGGCCCACATATCCGGTGTGGCCCACTGGCATCCCAAGGTCTATAGGAGCAGATGAGAACCATCTGAACCTCTGATTGAAGCCTTAGGCCCTGAGGTAGGGTGGGGTCCACAGAATGTGGACACTGAGGGCCACGCCCAGGTCAGAGAGTGTCGAGGGCTTCTCAGGAGGCATCAGGCTCCCACTGCATGATGCAAAAGGAGCCCCAGGTTCTGAGTCATTAGAATATGGGAGGGGGAGGGGAACATTCCCAGACTTTTCCAAAGAGAACAGTCAACCCAGGGAGGAGACCCAATCCCACCTTTTCCAGGATCCCTTTGGGAATGTAGCTGGAAACATCTGGAGCAGGGATTACCGGGAAGGGAGCACAGGGATTGGGAAGTGCCTGGATGCTGTGGGAAGAGGGCAGGACTGAGCACCCTGGGAGGGATGGGGGGTGAGGGTTGGAATGTTTCTGAATGTTCTTCCATGATGGTGCCTTAGGGAAATGTTCCTTTCCTCTCCTCTGAAATGATTGGGGGACTGGAATAGGTAGACTTGAGGTGTGGAAATGGGGAGCCCAACTTTCAATTGAATGTGGAAAGAATGACCCTGTATGTGGGGATGATAGGGCCACTCAGGGTCTGAATTGGGAAGAAACTGGGTGCTCACCTGAATGAAGGTGTTGCATCAGAGACCCTCCCCAAGGATTTGTGCTGAGAACTGGGGGTCTCTGATGGAGGTGGAGAGTGACCCGGAGTCTGGGGCAGGGCCCAGGGCAGACAGATTGCTGAAGAGGAGCCTGGTGTAGCTGGGAGGGGTCAACGTGAGGGCAAGGGTGTTGGGAGGAGTCAGAGATGAAGGGCATGAGACTGAAGGAGCCCTCCTTGCCTCAGCTCTTCTGTACCCAGATTCCTTAGAACTCAGTCTCGTCGCCTGGCCTTCTGCCCACCAGCTGCCACAAAGCTAGAGAAGAATCTGCTTTGCATTATCAGAGGAGCTGCGTCCCCCAGCCATATGGGCAGCAGACCCCCCCAGCCAGGAGCATCATGGGAAATGTCTTCCCCTGACCCCAGCTCTGGCTCAGCCCCTTCTTCCCCTGGAACATGGGGTTACAAGCTCAGTGGGCCCCACCACACCCCTCCCCACTGGATAAAAAGGCTTTTTACATTGTTCCAAGTCTCATCTCAGCTTCAGTGAACTGCATGAAAGAGGGGAAGGAAACACTAGGGGAAGAGAAGGGGCTCTGATGGGCCAGAGGAGATAAAAGGTCTCACCTTCTAGCCTAGAGAATGAAGGAGACAAAGAGAAGTTCCCCCGACCTGAGCAGAGAGGAGCGAGGCCTTGGGGGTGGCAGGTGGGGTGGCAAGGAAGAACTATAGGCCTCAGGCCCAAGGGGGCTGATGACACAAGAAGCAGCCAAGGGGCACCTATCTGTCCTCTGAGCCCACTGGGGGCTCAAAACCAGTCCCTCCTCTGGGTGGACAAAGCTCTGGAGCTGCCCGATGGGATAGCCACAGCCTCCTATGGCTGCTGAGCACTCGTGATGGGGCTAATCCAAACTGAGGTGTCCTGTAAGAGTAAAATACATCCTGGATTTTGAAAAATTAATGGGGGAAAAGTAACATATTTCATTAATAATTTTAAAATAATGATTACATGTTGAAATAATACTTTGGACATATTGGGCTAAATAAAATATATTATTAAGTTCATCTCATCCGCTTATTTTACTTTCATAATGTGGCTACTAAAAAGTTGAAAATCACATATGTCAATGGCATTCTGTTTCTATTGGACAGGGCTGCTTTAGAGCACTCCATTCATTCGGTCAACAACGTTTTATTGGGTGCTAGCTGTATGCCAGGCAAGGTGCTGAGGATTAGAAAGTGAGCAAAACCAGACCCTGTCTCTGGTTTCCTGGAGTTTACCGTAATCAAATAATCACTCAGACGGGTGCCTAATTGCGAAGAGATAAGTGGTCTAAAGAAAAAGAGTGGAGCCCTAGCTGGTTTGGCTCAGTAGTTAGAGGGTCGGCCCTCCAACTGAAGGGTCCTGGGTTTGATTCCAGCCAAGGGCATGTACTTCAGTTGGCAGGCTCGAACCCTGGCCCTGGTTGGGGCGTGTGTAGGAGGCAACCAATCAATGTGTTTCTCTTACATCGATGTTTCTCTCCTCTCCCTTCCACTCTCTCTGAAAAGCAATGAAAAAAATATCCTCTGGTGAGGATTAAAAATAAAAAAAGAAAGAAAAGGAGTGGAACGTGGTGTTCTCTGACCTGGAATCAGGAAGCCTGATTTGAGTCCAGAGTATGGTAAGAGCTTCCCCAAGGAAGCACTGAACTGGGAGGCAACTTGGAAAATAGAGGGAAAGAGTGTTCCAGACAGAAAGGACGGCATGAGCCAAAGCCTGCGGCCGGAGGGATCACCGAAGCTTAAAGAACTGCAAGATGGCTGGTTTGGAGGAGCACAGAGTGTGAGCAAGAGGGTGGCTAGAGGATTAGCAGGGGCCTCACAGCCCTTGGAGGCCACATTAAAGATGGGAAGCTCATGGAGCATTTTCATTTGCCCTCATGGGAGAATTGGGAAAAAGGAGTGGAGGTTAGGCTGAAGGAGGGCAAACAGGGTTTCTCCACAGTATAGGGGGAGTGCAAATCTCTGGTCTGATGTCTTTAAGGCTCTCTGTCCCCCAACCAGTGACTTCACCTCCCTGCCCGCCCTGCTGCACTCTTACCCTGCACCCAGCAGCCAGAGCTAGTGCTTTCTAAACTGCAAATCTGTCTATGGAGCCCCTGCTTAAAACCCCTCAGTGGCTTCCCAGTGTTCTAAGAGTGCAATCCAGACATCTTAGCATCTCTTTAAGCCCCTTTTCTGTCTGGCCCCACTGACCTCCCCCTCCCTGGGCTCCAGGCACAGGCGCCTCCCCAGGCCCTGTGTGCTCTCTTCTCTCTTTAGGGCCTTTGCTGAGCTGGTTCCTCTGCCAGGAACCGTCCTCCCCCAGCTCGTTGATTCCACTCATCCCTAAGGACTCAGCTTCAAGGTCCCTTTTCTAACAAACCTTCCCTAACCCCTGGTAGGGGTGGGTCTGGGCTGGGACCTCCCACTCACCCCTAGCATGGTATTGCGCACCAGAGGGGCCTTGTCTGCTATCTCCCCCTCCAGAATGTAAGATCACTGAAGGTAGGGATTTGCCTATTCTCACAGGTAGCGTCTGGCTCTCTACCAGATGAGAGGTGCTTCCCCCATCAGAATGGAGGCTCCCTTAGGACAAGAATGGTGCCTCCTTCATCAGATTCGAAGTATCCTTAAGCCTGGGACTGTGTCTCCCCATCAGATGGGAAGTTCACTCAAGACAGAGACCATCTCCCCATCACACTGCACCTTGGGTGCTACCCAAGTGCCAGGGTCACTTCTCCTATCTACCTGCACCCCACACACACCTTCCTCATAACCCTCGCAGTCTGGGGGTGGAAGATGAAAGACAGCTGCCCCTCCAACTCATACTTCATTCTTGGCTGGGGCCTGGCTGGCCCCTCCCAGGATTTTGAGATCAGGAAGGCTTATTTGCTTCTTTCCAGGAAGAGCAAGTCTCCTGTGCTTTTCCCAACAACCACGAGCCAGCCCAGCCCCATCAGAGGACCTGGCCAAGGGATCAGCAGGGGCTGAGCAGCTCTGACCAGCTGCCTGGCCAGCCTCAGAGAGTGGAACAGGCCTGGGGCCCGAAACCCTGCAGCTCAGGGAGCTCCCAGGCCCAGGCCAAGCAGGGCTCAAAGCCAGGCTGGCAGCAGCCAGGGTTGGGACCTGCCTGGGAGAGCCACAAGGGAGGGGCCTAACTCCAGGTCAGGCCAGCCAGGCTTCCTCCAGGCCATCTGGAGCCAGACCCCGTGCACATGCATGTGTTTGGAGGGGGCGGGGGGAGTGTCTCCCAGGCCATGTGGGTGGCTGGGAGCTGCAGGGTTGTGACCCAGCCCTTCTAGCCAGCCAGCCTCTGGCTCCCCTGTGGTCACTTTCACTTCTGACATCTGGTCAAGTTCACAGCTGGCCAGCTTCCTGCATGGCTATTCTCACTTTCCTTCTCCAAGATCTGGGGGAAAAGGGCCCCCACTCCTTCCTATCCCACGTGAATTAATTCCATGGCTACTACACTTGTGAATTTGCTGGATTTCTGTTAAAACTTCCCCATTTGATGTGTGTGCAGGCAGAAAACAGGACAGGAACAGAGATGGAAATTATACCTGTGTCCTTGTGGCAAATACAGCCTCCGCCAATTCAAAACACATGCGTTTCCAGAAAATCACTGCACTAATTTTCTTTCTTTGCTATTTAATGTTCATCATTTATGTTTTATGTGTATGTTTCGGGAGGGCCCAAGAAATGATTACACAAGATGCAAGGGAAAGGTGTCAGGGACTCTGGAGCTCAGAGTCCCCAGCTAGGGGGCCAAAAGGGTTCCATCTCCGACCAAAGGGAGGCAGGAGGGGCCCCAGAACCAAACACATGCTAAAACATACTTGCCACCCCCAACCCCCTCCCCAACTGCTGGGGAGGAAAATAAATACACTCAGACTCTGCCCCACTCCCAGGTGCACAGGCGAGGGGCCAGCAGGTGAGTTTCCTCCTCCCATCACAGATTGAGGTCAAAGAAATGCCATCTACATACAATGTTCCCCATCCCTTACAGGGGGCTGGGAGAACCCTGGGCGGGGGAGGGGGTGGCTGTTAGTGCACACCCTGCTCGGGCTCGTTCATGCTAAATAGATGGGGGAGCCAATCATTCCAACATCAAGCAAAACAGAACAGGCCAGGAGGGGCCTCCAGGCCCCTTCCTGGCACCAAGCTAGGGAAAAAACTGTCCTTTGTACAGTCCTCTAAACTTGGACAGACCAGAGTCTAGGGGCTACAGTTGAACTCAATTCCTTCTTCCTGCATTCCCACACTGGTCCACTTTTCTTCTTTGCAGCCTTCAGGGCCCAGCCAAACCCACGGCTTCAGAGGAGGGGGAGCATTCCTCCCGTGCAGGCCCTTGGAAGACAGGCGCCAGCTCGAGCCTCAGCCGTCCTTGGCCCGCCAAACCCGGGGGCGAGAGAAGACAATGCGCAGAGTTCAATTCCCTGGGATGCTTCTCTGGCAGCTGCCCCGGGCAGGATCCGGTCCCAGCCCAAGAGAAAGAACTTGTGGAGAAAAGATTTCTCACTGTGTGTGTGTGTGTGTGTGTGTGTGTGTGTGTGTGTGTGTGTGTGTGTTGCAGGTAGGGGTACTGTCTGTGTTGGCTCTTGGTCTATGCCTGGATGGAGGGCACCTACAGACTGGGCCACGCCACAGGTGCCACACTGACACGCCTTAGGGTGACAGGAAAGGGGAAGCAGCACCCCTTTCCACAAACCCCAAACCTGACTCGGGTCATGATGGGTCAACGGACCAAGCCTTGGGTAAAGCATCTATCTCCACCAGGGTTGAACAGGCCTGGGGATGGTGGAGGGTGGACCGGATTTGGCTGTAAGACATTTCCCAGGGGTTGTCACCCGTCCCCCCTTCTCCCAGCCTTTAAGCAAAGGTGAGGCTTGTGCCCTTCATTCAGAGAGGAGGAGGCCAGCCCACATTTGGCTACCCCATTTCTGGGTGGCTTTGGGCCAGTCCCTGCCTCTCTCTGGGCCTCACTGTCCTGTATGTGAAACAAGGAGGGTGGACTAGATTTCAATACCCTCTTCCAGCTCTGACAAGCTCCAACCCTCTTCGTCTTAGGCCAGAGGGGAGGCGTGATGGGGGCTGAGGGAGGTTTTAGGCCACGGATGCGCCCTCAGTCCCCAAGTTCACAGTGTAGAGTCCATGGCTCTGGTTCCTCAGTCTCTCTCTGAGTCTCTGGGGCCTCGTTGTCACTCCAACACTATCCCTGGTGTCAGCCCCCCAGGTATGACACCTGCTATGGTGGGAGGAGCTGGCCCACCTGGAAGTGTGGGAGAAGGAGCAGAAGGCTGGAGATGGTGAGGGGTAGGGACAGGGTGGAGAGGCAGCGAGGGTACCTCTGGTGCTGGAGAGGGAGTGTGGTCAGAAGCGATGGGGCCACAAGGGGTCAATGACAGGGCTGTGGTTTAGGGGCCCAGGCTCCACAGCCCTGCCCAGAGGAGCTCAGCTCTGATGCTGGCCCATGGGGGGCTGGCTGGAGCATCAGTCACCGGAATGTGGGGGCAGGGCAGGGGCTCCGGGTCAGCTCACACCGGGGACGTGGCAGTGGACTCGCTGCACAGGCTCTCAACAATGTCGGCTCGCTGGATGCGGCGCAGGGCAGCCAGGAGGGCATCGAGCGTAGCGCTGTCCTGGGCCGCCCAGCTGGCGAGCAGGGCGCGGACAGGGCAGGCCTCATGGGTGAAGGAGTCTATGTGCTCAGGCTGGTAGCCCAGCTCGTCCGCCAGGTGCCGCCAGGTGTCCCCCGCAGAGCCATTGAGCAGCTTCTCCACCTCCTCCCGCTTGGCCGGTGGCAGGTTGCTGTAGAGGCCTCCGTCCCCCTTGAGGGCTGCCAAGAACCCAGGAGAAGTCAGACACAACCCACCAGGTCCCCTTCCCCCCACAGTAGGCCTGGCACCTGGGATAAGACCAGAGAAGGACTGAGGCATTTCTCCTCCCAATCTGGGGAAGCCCCCAGGGCCTACAGGCAGAGGGATGGCCAAGATGAGGTCCTGGATAGAGGGGCCAGGCTGTGGAGGGGGCCTGGGGGCAGATGCTGAGTCATGTGCCTTCCCCACCCATAGCTCCAGCACTATCTCCACCACCTAACCCCTCCCTACTGTCCCCC